TCTGATCGATGGACCAACAAGAAACACTGAGCATGCAATACACACACAAAAACACACACGCACGTAACCCGTTTACCAAGCCGAGGCCTTGTGGAAACTGTACTGTTATTGGTAATAATTATGACCCGAGGGCATCCACCTTTCAATGACAAAGATTAAACAAAGTGTCGAGACCTCCGAGTTCCTGGGCTAAAACTTTTTATTGCTCTCTTTCTCTCAGAGCATTGTTTAGTAATGATCCCAGCTCTGGGGGGTGGGGGGGATAAACCTTAAGGATGACTTACTGTGGGACTCTGAGAAGACCCCCTTTGGTTTCTGGTGCTGTCTTGTCCCTGATCAAAGGACTGAGGGCTAAACAAACAAAGACAGGCTAAAATTACACATTCTCAGAACGACTCATGTTGTGGCACGCAATCGAGTTGAATAGTCGCCTGATTGATGGGCTGCTCTGAGACTGGCGCGGGTGTACAGTATTATCTCAATAATCATAAGATAATGTCTTGCTCGGTTCCGCGGCCACCCACTGCGCGTCTCTGCGTGTTGTGGTGTGCGCGCTGTCGAGGTGTGTCAACATAAGGATGGTGGAAACAGCTGACAAAGCCTCAATTATACTGCTGCCGTTTCTATTCTCTAAATAGACTGTGGATCATCACCATCTGAACATGGTGAAACCACAATAAATTACAGCGTTTTTATGTAACCACTGGCTGTGTTTGTTGCTCTAACGCAAGAATATGGAAACTAACCCAGTGTTAAACTGTAATAGTCTTTGGCCAGTAGGAAAACAAGCCCTTGTCACTATCTATTGAGATGATTTTGCTTGAATGCATGTATGTGTTCTACTGAGTGTGTGTCGGCATGTATCCATCCACCCACTCCAACACCAAATAAAGCCCCAGTCTTAACCATCCGCTTCCACTCCTACCCTCTGACTTTCACATATGGGAGTGAACTAGAAATGCATGGCTGAGAGGAAGGAGGAGCCATGATGGAATTAGGCCAGAATGATGGAAGGGGGAATAGAGGGGAACATTAAGATGTATGATGTAGCACATGCACGCACGCATGAGTCACCTCTTATTGATCTCGGTACATTGAAACTTAGGGCAAAACATTAAAGGTAAAAAAGTAAAATAAAACATGCTTTGCTAAATCAGCAAAGGAAACATTAAAACAGAGAAAGCATGATTGAATAATGCCAACATATAAAGTTTAAGGAAATAGCTGTCGGTGAGTTGTGACTGGCCAGAGCTAGGATTTAGTGACTTTTTTTTTTCCACTTCTCAGGATGCAATTTAAACACACCCTCGGGCTGCAGCCCTTCATGAATAGGACAGAAAATCAAGAGCAGAGCAAAGAAAGAGAAGAAAAAGGGGAAATGAGATAGTGGGGAAGAGAAAAAAATAACAGGAGATGGTGAAGAGGAAAGAAAAAGGAGAGGACACCAAGAGTGGAACAATGCCATTCAACCCATGTCCAACAAGGTTTATAAAAATAAAATAAAATGAATGCTTCTTATCGATAATATAACTTTTCTAAGTAGCTCACTCACCTCTCCTTGGAAGCTCTTAAGTAGAGGAGCAACTTGTTTCCTTAAATCCTGAAAATGGAACAAAATGAAGACATTAGTATAAAAATTGATCTTTTTTGTTTTTCCCCCAAAAACAGCGGTAGACATCGAGAAGCTTACAGACATAGTTACACCTCATTTTCATTAGAACAGCGTTTAAAACCTATGACCAATACTACAATCGAGTTAGCAGACATTCTTGATTCTGCCAATAAAAACAGAGTGGTGCATGTGTGTTGAGTATGAGAGAGGAGATGGAGCCAGGTTTGTGCCCTGGGGTGCTCTGCCAGTCTGGGTTTCTCATAAGAACAGGTGCAGTACCACCTGGGCCACCCAGAGGCACCGCGAGTGCGTGTGAGTCAGAGAGGAAAGGAGTCACAGATAGAGCCTTACAGTTAATGCAAATTGCATTAGCGGCACACCAGGTTTTTACTACAAAGCAAATGTGTTTCATCCTCCGAGTCCCATTGCATGACTTTCCAGTACGAGTCAGCAGTTCTAGATGAGATAGCCAGTCGAGGATGTATCAGGGGAACATGCAAATCGCTGTGCTGTTAGCCAGGCCCGGATCCTGACAGACTGAACTGGAGCGTATGGTAAAAAGCACAGCGGAATGGGACGTTCTGTACAAAAGCATTTGATTTGCGCAGTCTGTGGACACAAACACGTTTACCAAGCAGCTTAATGAAGACGATAAGTAGGGCAACAACAGATGCGTGTTCAGGAGAGTCGGTGCCTTTCAGAAGCCTCCTCTGAAAAGACTGAGGGAAGAAGTGGTGGGGAGCGAGCTGACCTGTGACCAGCGTCTGGGGCTGGACTAATCTAAGGCTGGTCCAGACAGGCCCCTTGTCTGGGGCTTAGGACAGGTCATGAGTCTGTGACCCTGCTTCATTGTTACCTCATTAGGGGTCGATGCGGCTGTTTGTCTGGGGCCAATTCAATATTGCCTTGGATAATGACCTGCACCCTTAGCCCCACCCTCCTCTGCTCAGGGTCACCATTCACAAAAACCACTCGCTCACAACCACCGGATAAGTGACGGTTATGAAGTTTGCATTAGATTGAGATTATAGTCTAAATTTTTAGCTTCCCTGTACATGTCGTTTGGATAATTAGATTCTTTTTATCTTTGATCCAGGTTTTCCAGGTAATATAGCTTTTTTATTGGAATAATATTAATAATATTAAATACATATAATAAATATTGCTGTTCTGAAATGCAGGTACGCACCCAATGTAAAGAATGCACTTGGTCGAGTCTGCTGAAAACCACATGGAAGCTCGAGTCATGTGACTGACCTACATTAGGCTGACTTTGGTCTGTGTAGGTACACACATTTGGTGGGGTCGGACAAGCGCAGAATCTCAGAGATCATTTTAAGTTGGAAATGGAAGGGTGAGAGAAAGAACAAGTAAGCCAACTATTATAAATAACTGCTTGTATCAAGAATTTACAGGTTGAAAGTGGAGAGGTAATATTCTTCTCTGTCCTTCTGAAAAGAAACAACAAATGGCTGTAAGGATGAGAGTCAGCAGAAGTAGAGTCGTTATGGGGGAGGACATCGAGCTGTGGAGCGTTAAATTCCTGAATTTTAGTGGCAAGTTGGGAACATTTCAGACAGTCTTGTTCTAGATTGTATTATTGCCGTTGCCAGATTTGAGGCAAGACGTGAACGTGATGAAAGCAGACGTGACAAATAAAAACAAACACATTCTCATAACATAACAGCAGCAAGCTACTCCTGCTGGACACTGGAGCTCTGTGGTCCACTCACCGGTGCTCCTCCCCCTGCCCTCTCTACTTCCAAAGATTTATGACCATATAACATAACAATGCACACAGACACCACGGTCAGTGTGTGTGTGTGTTGTGGGGCCCAGGCAGCAGGAGATGGATGGCTGGTGTGTAAGCTGCCGGCAGACAGCAGACAGGCCAGCCTGAAGAATCCTCCAGGGAGTAAGGAACTCCCATTCGCTGTCTGTCTGCCCTGCAGCTAAACACAAACGTGTGTGTGTGCACGCACATACACATGCACACAAAGTTATTTTACTACCACTGCCTCTGGTCAGCAATCTTTGGGGCATTTTGCAATCATTCCCACCCTTTCCCTTTACGCTGTAGGAAAGCAGTTTTAACCAAAAGAAAAATTAAGAGCGAATTTAATAATTTAGGTAATTTAAGAAGCGCAGTGAGATGAAGTCTTGAGAGAGGGAGAGAGAGAAAAAAAAATCAGCGTGTCAGTGCTGATGAATTATGAAGACTTTGTTTTCACGCCGCATTTCTTTGCACTACTTTCAAAATGCTACAAAAGCCACTGTGTGAGTGTATGTGTGTGTTATTATGCAGGCTGTGAGTGCAGTTCACGCCGAGTACAGCTCAGCAGACTAGACACAGTCAACGTGGGCCGGTCTCCTGGTTGTTGAATAATGGATCAGAGACAGACTCCCGCTCAGCTTAATGCAGTCTGATCTGATGTGACTGTGATCTCTGTTGACTGGTGCGGACCACAGAGAGCTGACAGCCCCCTCTACGGGCTGGTCAACCACACACAGAGCCAAGAGCACACCAAGACGATCGGGGCATTTTTAATCAAGCGCAGGCCGTTGCACGTTATGAAGCAGCCTTTTTGCTAGGCAGCTCTGATGTGCCTGTACTTCCAAGCGCCCAGAGTTTTAGTGCCGAATCCTATTGAGCCTGTTACAGCCCTGTAATGAATCCTGTCGCTCGTCTCGCCTGGCTCAGATTCCTCCTCCACATACCAGGGAGATGCCAGGGGCCACACAGACGCCAGAGGAGCCTTCCTAAATCACAGCCTTGTTACACTGATGAATGTGTGTGTCCTGTTCTGTGATCTAGGCTATCTGCCTATGTGTTTTTAAGCCTTTGCTACTCTGGATGTTTCCTTTGTGTGCCTCTACATGCGGATCTCTCCGCCCTCTGAGTGTTGCTTATGCTTGAGATTAGAGATGAACGTGGAGAGTGAAGTGGAGGGTTCAGTTCCCTCTGGTGTGTGTTCCTCCACGCTGGGAGGGCCACATGCTGAAGTCAATCGTCCCAGTCCTCATCCTGTGGTAACTACAACAGGCCCGCTGTCAACTTCGTCGAGTTGACAATTTTCTATCCACCGTCTACACCGCTCATCCATAATTCATACCACCATCAATAATTCACTGTGGTGACATTACCAATAATAACACAACAATACTTTGTTTTCACCGTGAGGTTTGAAATGTGTTGCCTTGGTTACGGGGATGAAACAAATATTCCCAGGAGGAGAGATGGGAACACAGGAACAGGACAGAATTCCCTCCTGATTCCACTTAGTAGTGCTGTCACACACACACCCTCTTCTCCCCCTCCTGCTCAGTCCTGCCTCTCTGTCTTTCTTTCTCACACACACACACACACACACACACACACGCACACACACACACACACACACACACACACACACACACACACACTCACAGACCACACTTTCTGCTCACATAAAAACTAGGTCAGATAATACAAACTCCTGAGGGGTTTTCTGTTTTGTCTCTTTAGGATTTCAGGGAAACTAATGGAGAGACTATTTTTGGGAGCAGCGCTTGCATCCCTGCTCGGTCTCCTCCTCCCCTGCTTTCTCAGTAAATAATCACAGCTACGTTTATGAAGAAAGCAGACGCAGGCAAACTACTCCTACTGTCAAAAGACAAGCGAAATATACAGTGAGGCCTTTTGTCTTGTCTGTAAATTTCTGTCGTCTCACCTCTGGAGTTGTCTTCTTGAACTCGCGGCTCAGGTCGATTAGTTTCTTCCTTGACTGTTCGCTCTCGTCCTGTCTGTTGGCAAGCTGTGTGGCGGTGGCGTCAAGTTCTTTCTGCAATTCAAACACACACACACACAAAAATAAAGTTATTTTAGTCACAAGTATCTTTACTATCATTCAGGATGGAAAGACAGGAGAAGCTGTGCAACTCAACAGCCCACCCAAGTATCAAGGTGCTAACGACTCGTTTAGCAGCAGCTTAAATTGGATAGTATGCTGCTGCGGCAGCAGCGGAAGAGGACAGACCCATAACACCTTTGTGCAGCCAAGAAAAACACTGCTACATTGCTGGTTTGATGTGCACGCTTTTCCTCAGCCTGTCAGTCGGTTACAATGGTGGCAGACGTGTAAACTTATGTAGCAGTAGGTAGGTGCTGGTTCACAAGAATTAATAACTGTCGGCCCCGGATGGCTCCTCCTCTCCTAGTAACATAACGACAACAGCTCAATTATCAACAACAACGTTGTCAGGGCTGAGCTCAGGCCTGCCTTTATCCACATCCATTTTACATTGTTATTAATAGCTATTCATGGGACTTGTTCCAGATGATGAGCTGAAATCTGACATTAACAAGGCTTTCAGGACTTGTAAAGATTGTATCTCTCGCTCTCTGCTGAGTGTGTGGCAATTCCTGGATTATGTTCCTGTTGGATCCTTGCCCTCTGTCGCACTCGCTCCTTTTTGCAAACTCTCCACAGACATCCACTCACTCACTCACTCACTCATTCAACCAGCAGCTCTGTCTCGTCAGTTTAAATCTTTTACTCCGCCTCTCTCAATTTTCCCTCCCCTTATCCCCTCCTAACCACTTCCATCCAGCACCCCTGTGAGGACGCCCACCCCCTGAGAGTGATTAAACGCTGCTGAAGGGCCGTTATGCTAACTAACGCACTAATCATTTAATACACACATTACCACAGGGGCCCTTGTGGCTCAGACCGCTGACGAGGTCCCAAAACACACTCACGCATATATGCTCACACCCCTTCAAAACACACAATGCAACCCTCTAAAGAAATAGTGTGATCAAGTACTAATTAGGAGATTTTCCCCCCGTCAGCATTAAGTTTAATTCCCTGGCCAGCGCTGATCGTTTTATCCACAAACCATGAAAAATAAAAAAAGTGGTTGACAGTCCTCTGTGGTGGATTTTACTCATCAGCACAGGATGTTAAAAAAAAAAAAAAAAAAAAAAAACTTGCTTACATGCCATCTTGCTCTTGCTGCCCATGGAGCAGTTGATGTAGCAGCCTGTCTGCCCGTGGCCATGGAGCAGCTGCGCTATCTGTTAGTGAATTCGAGCGTGCGCGGGCGCTTGTGCTACGCTTGATGAAGGGAGGAAGCTAGCTAATTTTAATCACTTTAAATTAATTGTCAAAACCTAGATGCTCCAATTCATAGACAGAGGTGTAATTATTAAACTGGGTAATATTAGAAAAATTAGGAAGGAACTAGGATAGAGGAACCTGATGGTTAAGAGGTTGGCGCTACATCGAAAATTATGATTTAATAACTAAAAATGCCTAAACTGCTTCTGAAATTACACAACCTTTTTACCAAAACGGGTTCATTCTAAAGCACAATAAATTTTATGAATGCAAATCAACACCAAATTAATATTACTTTTTTTTTTTTTGCCAAAAAACTCACCCAGTCCTGTACAGACAGAGCTCTGCTACAAGGGGGGTCATGTGCCAATTCCTAATGCCCTTGATTCTGTCCAATCCCTTTCCAATAGCCAGAGCATATCCCAATGTGTCCAAAAGAATAAAAAAAAATCTCACCACTAAGCTATAAAAACACATCACACATAAAAGAGGATTGATTCAGTGCCAAGTGGGCAAGTAATTATGTGCGTCTTATTTAAAAAAATAAAAAAAGACCCTCCGACTCAATCAGGTTTCGACTATGCAGCAAACTCCATGCCCTCATCAGCAGACACAAGCAGACTTTATACTTCTCCTGCTGATAGAGCGTAACGTCCAAAAGTGCACAATCCTTCCAGTCTAAACGTTTTTTATACGCATGAACTCTGACCACAAAGAAACCACTGGTACTTTCAGAACTGAATATAAAAAGTTATTAAATATAATGAACCAAAAATGTTAAATATACCCATCAAGGAAAAGTACGTTTACTGAATTTGTACCTCTCGTCCCCGTTTTACTTTAAGTAGGGTGGCAAAATATATTTAAAAATTTGTTTTTGCAGTGTCAATTTTAGTTTCATAAAAGAAAGCTTGGATTGTAAATCACAGCTCGTTATATTTTAACTAAGACCTGTTGTAGCAAAACACAGTAAAGTGAGCAGGACATCCATCTTTGTGAAGTTTTTTTATGGATGGGGTCAACATTTTGTAAAAAGTTTATCTTTTCAGTCTTGTGTTCACACAGAAATGACATTTTAGGAGTCCTGATATATGTATTTTTTTAAGGCTCCGGTTTGAGCTCTACCTTTGTGTTTATGTAAACCGATAAAACAAAATTATTTAAGTATTTAAAAACCTTTTTAAATACGTTGACAGAGCTCCACGTCTACTCTAACCTGAGGGTGCCCTTATCTTGTATTTACTGTAGTCCCTCACTACTTCGCGGTTCGACCTTCGTGGACTCGTTCTTTCACGGTTTTTCAAAGTAATATTGTGCGGGGGGAGTTGCACACGACACGAGTGTCAACTTTAATATTACTCATGTGATTGAGACAGTACAGGACACAGTACAGTAAAAAGTTAACGTAAAATAAAATACTTCAGACAGGCGCCACCCCTTTCTAGTTTTCTCTCAATAAGCCTACACTGCATTCCAGTTCATAACGACTACAATTCCCAGAAGCCAGCAGTGCACCAGAAGCCCCATTGCCCTCTGCTGAAATACTAGAGGGAAAGTTTGGATCTGATCGGAAAAACTTTGGTCCTTTACAGTGACTTCAGCGCCCAGTGGATGCAGAGAGCCGCACAGAACCCACATAACTGGAGCAGAACCGGACCTCCAGACCCATCGGCAAATCCGAGAGCTGTTAGCAGGCCCATGAGGACCTCCGAGTGGGGATGCACTGTCGTAGGTCCAGCCCCCTCTCCGGAGCCCACCAGGACTTTTTTTATCCTTCTGTTGGACCACTCAATCAGACCACTCAATCGGATCACTGATGGTCACCGCACCGGCCACCCTAAGGTCCCACACACACACACACACACACAAAATGCGCTTTGGTGCTCAAGGGCTGCACAGAACCAGACCAGAATCGGCAGGGTAGGTCTGCCGGACCGGAATCGAGCCGCTGTTTCTGCAGAGCTGGTGAGCAAAATGTAGTGGTTACATATGTTGTTAAAATGATTTAAGTTTAAGAGTTTAGAACATTGCCAGAGTGTGGAAAGATTTATAAAGCCTTAAAACATATAAATACTAAAATAAATATAATGTCCCTACTTTGCGGATTTTCACATATTGCCGGGGGAGGGGGGGGTCCGGAACGTAACCCCCCGCAATAAACGAGGGACTACTGTATAGGCATGTCCACACCTTGTTTCATGTTTTTTTTTTTTGTTTGTTTGTTAGTTTGCTTTGTTTTTATGTGTAGCAATAATACAGTGCCACATACAGGTCGACTACTTCAGCATTTTTGGTGATTTTAGCACCTCTTTGTGCATGACAAATTTGCCATGTTTACAGGGATGAACAAGGCCTTAATACTAAGCAAAAATTATATGACTGATCTGAGCCACCAAGTTGTATCAGCAAAAAAAACAGCACTTGGAATCAGAATAGGATCAGACAGGTGGTTTTCAGATTCCACAGCATTACGTAAAGACACATCACATAAAGACTTTTCATGTAAAGACACGTCAAGTAAAGACACAACCAAAATTATTAGACTAAACACATATTTGGTCAATCTGATGGCCTCTTACTGTCCCTTGAGACTGACCCCTGGTTTAGAGGATTATAGCCAAGATGCTGAAACGCACAGAAAGTGTTGGGTGTTGTGATGACAGAACAGAAAGACAGAAGTTTATGGGTCCATTACAAACATTTTTATCACAATATTTGTCAGTAACGATATTATTCAGCTCTACATTTAAGCAAGAATTTCTGAACTCAATAAATTTTTTCAAAAAAGTAAGCTTACCTAGTTACAAATAAAAATGAAACAGTTTCCAGTGTCCATGTGTACAAAACAAGCAGAGGGAAATGATGACTATTTTGCACATGCCCATATCTTGTTTGTGAACATCAAACTTCCAAAGTTTCCTCAGAAACTTTCCTCTGAAAGTGATCATTAATATTTATATAAAAAGACTAATATGTTCAACTGTTAAACATGTCAAACATACTGTTATTTATTTATTTATTTATTATACTCTGTTACTCCCCAATGGGGAAATTAATTCTCTTTGTTTTATCCATCGCGACGCATGTGGAGCAGAAAGCTGCCATCTAGGGCACCCAGTGCATCTAGGGCACCTGGGGGAAGCAGATGGTGGGGGTTAAGGGCCTTGCTCAAGGGCCCAGAGTGGGGCAGATGAGGGTGGAAGCAGCGTGCTTCACCTTTCCCACCCACATTTTTGTTGCTTCGTCCAGGGAGTTGAACCGGCGACCTTCCAATCAGACCCGCCTTCTCTAACCTCTGCACCACCTCTCCTCTTCTAAGTCCTTAAAAGGTGATATTCCTGATACTTTTTTTTTTATTTACCCTTTATTTATACAGGAATATTTTTTATTTATTTATACCTTTATTTATATTTTTACATCCTTTAAAACTGGTAGACTAATGTTTCATGAAAATTAAGACACGAGGAGGCGGTTGATAAAAAAACTCTAAAGTCTTTCAAACTGAACGAACAAATTGAACTCGGTCCAGCTGCTCCAGTCAACCGATCCCTTCTACTTTACAGCTGAAATTATGGTTGAGACTAAAAATAGCAGGTGGCCCAATTAACAGATGGTTAAACAGAAAGATGAAGACCTTTTGTTTTTTTCAGCAACAAAGACTTAAAAACAGACTGTCCAAAGTGAAATGGTAGAATTTGCTGAGAGGTCAGCAGGTCAAACGG